TCGCCCATGTAGACGGTGATCTCTCCTTCCCTAAGCCGCCTGGTTTCCTGGAACCCCTGCAACGGATTGCAGACACAATCATTGGCTCCAGTATCTACACACCAGGTTCTGGTAGATACAACCGCTAAACCTGTTTCTATGACATTAATCGAGAGAGTTACCTTTCTTGAGGAGAGGGCAGTTGACCTTCCAGTGTCCTGACTTGTTGCACTTGTGGCATCTACCTTTTGGCTTCTTTGCCATAGACTGAGGGAGCGGTCGCTGTACCACCAGGGCATCCTGGACCTTTGCCTTTCCTGCAGACTTCTTTTTCTTCCTGCCCTTGTGAGGCCTGCAAGGTCCAGCCTGCTCGGCAACCAGTGCGTGAGGCGCCTGAGTGAATAGCCGACTGAAGCTCTACTAACAGTTCTGGAAGAGCCATATGCATCTTGTGCTTGTTGTAGTTCAACCGGAACTGATCAAAACTCTTCGGCAGAGAGTGGAGCATGATATCAACCTGAGTTTCCTCGTCGATAAAACCTCCCATAACCTCAAGCTCATTGAGTAGCGCCATAACCTTGAGAGCATGCTCCCTTACGGGTGTGCCCTCTTCCATGCGCGTAGTCATCAGAGCACCTATAGCCTCTTGTCTAGTAGCCCTAGACTGGTGTCTGAACAGATTCCTAAGATTGAGAAGTATATATGCCGCAGTGTTCATAGACTGGTGCTGATGTTGAAGAAACATTTGACATAGATGCCATAATGTAACACTTTGCCATCTCATCAGCCTTTTTCCACCGGGCATACTCCCCTTTCTCCTGCTCAGGAGCATCAGCCGCGGGCTCTGATGGGCAAGCCTCAGTAATCGCAAACGTATAACCCTCAGCAGTCAACACAATGTCTAAATTCCTCTTCCAATCAATGTAATTAGGACCCGTGTAGTAAACTTGTCACCATTGCGGTCTTGGTTATAAATAAGTTGATTTTCTTTTAGAATGACAGATAACAGATTGAACGACATGATGAATATATGAGAAACACGAAAATAATTTTACAGACTAAACACATTTGAATTTAACTGCTAATATTGATATCCTCAAAACTATATTAACTTAAATTCACCGACATCTCAAAACGCTGAGAGTTAATGCATGATGCGAGGGCAACTCTATACAACTCAACATTCGCAAGAGAAGGGCTTTCAGAGGCCCATTAATTTGCATAAGTCAAAACCAAATTCATGACGAACGAAATTAATAGTCGGTCTCCATTTGGCCGTGCAATAAGTTCAGGGACCCCGAGGGGAGTTATAAATAAATCGCATTCTAAGTGAATCCCATTTCTCGATCCTGAGTTCATAGGAATTCGATTATACGTCATCCGAGGGGAAGCCTGCACTCTCTCATAAAACTCCCTCTAATCGTCTAATTAGAAATTCGTCCTGGTAATTTCCTACAATTAATTTTAGCAATGTCACCAGAGGGGGAGCCCATAACCGCAATTAATTGATTTACCGACAAATTAGAAATTGAGGCCTTAGGAATTTTACAATTAACTGTAATTGAAAATCTCTTCTCAAACTTAATATAATGGATTTTTACTTATTTAAATATTATGCAATTCTAAATTAATCCTATGTAAATGCAATATGATTAACATGGATAATTAAATATGTAATTCTAAATTAATCCCATGCAAGTACAATAATTAATTAACATTCATAAATAAATAAATAAATAATGGCATAATGAATTTAAATAAATAAATAAATAAATCCTCTATTATGGCCATTAAATATTGAGTTCCCATAAATAAGGAAATTTTGTATATTCTTTCCCTGTTCAACTGAAACTCCCACTGTAGTAGAATCCTTGTAGATCTTGTACTGCTTAGACACCAAGTAAACCTCTCCACCGCCGTCAGCCCGCCGTCGCCGCCGCCCGGCCGCCGGTGGTCGGAAAAAATAATAATTTTTCTTTTCTCGCGCGTGTCCGTGTGCGCCTCCGGGCTTCGTCCCAGTTGGTCTTTCGAGGCTCATTGATCTCTTGTGATCTCCCGACAAGTAATTCACGATCACAACACGAAAAATATAATTTACAAAATTACATAATCCGATCCTAGATCCAACGAATGGATGTACATGATTTCTAAATAAGTAATTAAATCTATCCGGTCAACCCTCGGGCGAATAATTTTTACAAACATTCATCCATCAAATTCCTCGACATGTCCGAGGCTTTAAAAACAAATTTAAAACCATACCTGACATTTATCAACATTCATCAAACACATACTCGGCCATAATAGTGGATTAAACTAATTCCTGCAAAACCGAGTTATGCGAATATAATCCAATATATGGCTACGTTTGAACACATCTTGACAAATAAAGCTATAAAATTCGAACTTGTACACAACGAATTAAACCAAGCTCTGATACCACTTGTTGGGATCAATGAAGATCTCGTTGTGCACAAATCACGAATTCAATAACAAAACGTAAACTTATGTGCAGCGGATCTAAAGGTTTGCGTAGAGAACTTATGGCTTAAAATTTATGGCGATCTGTTTGATCTTCTGGATGGCCGTACAAAGAATACCAATTAATTGTTGACTGCAAATTGCGTCCTAGGATTGCACGAACAAGGTCAGATCGAAAACCGGATCAAACGAGTGCAAAATGGATGAAGACAAGTTGCGGTCCTGGGACCTTGCGGCGGCGAGTGCAGGCGCGTGGGTGGTCGGATGGCTGCGATCTTGGCAGCGTTGGAAATCTTTCGTCGAGGCGGTCATCTGGGTATGCAGCACGTCTTGATCGGACCTCTGGTTAGTTCTGTACGACCAAATATATTTCGTCTCACTTTACCCAAAGGTCTTCTAACGTATATCTCAAACACCTCTTAATCTTGTACCAGTGGAACAACAAGAAGAAGATAAAGCTCAAACGAGAACTGAGAGAGAGAAGAGAGGGGTGGGGCTTGATTTCCAAGATATGGAATTCTTTTCTCTTCCCATGAGCTTAATGATGTATATATAGAGCTACAGTAGGGATCCTTAGGAGATTAGGATTAGGGCTCCTTAATTAATTAAAATACTTGTGGACCAAGCCACTTATTTTAATTAATTAAATATTATTAAACGGGCCACCAACATAATATTATTGCACTCCCTTTTCCTAGCCCAATTTACAATTAAGACTCCAATAATAATTACTCAATTTATCTCTCCATGTTTAGGATATAATGTCTATTATTTAATTGAATTACTGACAATCAAGAATTAATTAATATATTATTATTTCACCGAAGCTAGCACTCGTTCATCACATTATTACTATGCCTAAATTTAATCCACCTGCAGGGTTTAGCATAATAATCCTTCATGAATTCACTCCGCGGACATCGTCAAACTAACGCACATGGTGACCGTAAATATCCTAACAGCACATCCTACATGTAGGAATATTACCCAAGACAGCGGGTCTATTGTCCCAGTTCACTAAGCTTCACCCATGTGAATCAGAGTAATAAATACTACACATATATGTCTGTTTAATATCTTACGGGTTAAGAGTACACAGTAATTAACCGAGGCTTAGTTCATTTACGATGATCAGTATAAAACGAACTGCTCCTCTCTAGGATCCTGTTCAATAAATAACTGTACTAGTGCAACTAATCAGTCAAGACAAACTGTACAGTTGACACTACAACCGTTCACGATGGGGTGTTCATGTCCATCTGGGTTGTGAACCACTTATTCTTGTTTCGCGAGTAACTGATAGCATGATCTTCGGTTCGCCCGATGACGACCCACACTATCTAATGCAAAACAACAGAACATAGAACTTGTTTAATCTAACATATTTCTTGTAATAACCGTACTTCTTGTTAATAAAATTATGTATTATCTTTTACTGATTCCGTTCATTTTCAGCGAATAAGTTCGACGTTAAGTCGAAAAGTTTATTCGGTTAATTATTAACCGAGTCAAAATCGATAATTAATTTCCGAACCGTTTATTTTATATATTGGACATTATTAATCGGGATTAATTATTAAAAGTTATGAATGTTCGGGAGTAAGTTCGAAGTAGAAATCAAGTGAAGTCATGAACGCATACATGGTGCACTATGCGTGTACGCATGCACGCAGCGGTACGCGTAGCCGCGCACGCGTACGCACGCAGCATGAATCCTCGCGCACAACGCGTAACACGCGCGTTAAGTATCCCCTAAACACACGCTTATGTTCCATTAAGCCCCATGATCAAGCTAAGCCAACCCAGATCTCAAGTCTTTGTTTGGGCCGTAAGGATTAGTATCTAGGATAACCATGGATGCAAGTTGCCATGGTGACTCACCTAGTAACTTGCACACATGGCGTGACACGAACGCACGGGGATGACTAAGCCCGTGCATGGCCGCCACCTCAACAATGACTAAGCCAAAATCACCCACACTTCAGCCACGTTTATGCCACTTGTTCAGCATATATTCGGGAGAGAAAGCAGTAAGGAAAAATAAGAGAAAAATCACATAAAAATAGCTAAGCATTGTGGAAGCAAAGAGGAAGCACTCGGACACCAAAGTCAAGCACGAACACGCACGCACATCTCCGTGCAATCTTTGACCGAACTGAAGGGTATACCCCTATTTATCCTCTTTTTATATAGTTAAGTTTATTTTAAGGAGATTATGTCGAAGTCATGTTGTTTGGTCCAAAAATTTTTAGTAAAAATGACATCGGAGGTGCTATATATGCCCTCCCGAGTGATTTCAAAATAGAACCGGCAAGTCCCGAGTAATCTATGTATTTTCTGTCATTTTAATTCAAAACATAACCAGTCATGTATAGATTGTCGAAAAAAGTAGTCGGACGGCCGGCGAAATGCCGACCGTGATGCCTACCGCGCACAGCGTGCACGCAGGCACGCCCGGCAGGCCCAGCGAGTACGCAGGCAGCGTCCGCACGCCCAGTATCGCGCACGCGTGCCCGGTACTCGACAGTTAAGCCTCTGCGATGCCGCAGTCGTGTGCGTAGACGTGCGCAGTGCACGCTAACACGCACGGCAACGCACTTCAACGTCCGTCCACCTAGTCCGCGTACATAGCAACGCGTCACACGCCTGATGTGTAACTGGGTTTTGACCCTCGACGACAAGAAGGGCCGAGAACCAAGACAACCCGAGAAGGCTAAAAATAGGGCCAAAACGACGCACGCATAGCCTAAGAGACGGGTACGAGCTCGTATGCGAGGCGCACAAGTACACAAGAAAGGGCGCATTCAAGAAGGGCGCGCACACGCGCATTGGCGTAGACGCGCATGGCGCTTAATGGTTTGGCGAAGTGGCGCGCAAGGGGTGGATGTTGGGTGGTCGATGCGCGCGAGAGATTGCTACAGATGGACGGGCGCGTATCGGGCGCTGGACGATGCGCGGGCGGTGTTGAGCGTGCATAGGCGCGCGATAGACGAGTGAGGTGCGGTACGCATGATGCTGGGCGTGCGTAGCATGCACAGAGACGCGCGGGCGATGGGCTGCAACACGTGGGGCGACGCGGGTGATGTCCTAGACCGCGTAGGCATAGGAGTGTTAGGCGACGAGTGCGGGGCGCACGGCGACACGCGCGAGGCACAATTCAAGAATAAGGCGACATGCCTAATCCTCGTAGGAATAGGCAAGGCCCGAATACTAATCCTCGCAGGAATAGGAAAAGCAGTTGAGTGCAGGAACGCGCGTGGGAGATCGCTGATGGGTGTAATCCTCGGAAGATCAGGAAACGTAGCCGGGAGCATATTCCTAGTAGGAATAGGAATAGTGGATATGGGCTCGAAGCACAATCTTACAAGGAATAGGAATGGCGCATGCGGGGCGTGAGACCTTAAGCCTCGAGGCAAGAGGACATACACGCATGGGCAAAGGCGTTGCAGCCCTAGTCCTCGAGGACTAGGGCGAGGCGTGAGGCGGCGCGCGGGTTTGAGGCGACTAGGGCAAGAGGCGGCCAACTTGGAGTGGGGAGCAAGCAAGAGGATTGGAGTGCAAGGCAAGGAAGATCAAGACTATTATAGTAGTATTAGGATTTTATTACCATGTTGCTTTTCATTGTAGAATTAGGAGATCTAATTACCTTAGGCTTAGATTTATTTTATGCACCTATAAATAGGGGTCTCCCCTCATTGTTTTGAGAAGTCTTGGATTTGATGAAATAGAAAAGAACGTTTGTTCGAAACCGCGTGTTAGAATTCATGAGAGTTCGATCATGCAACCGAATTGGTGAGGCTAAGACCCAAGCCAGTTCAACAATTTAGAGAGGCTAAGACCCGATCTATTTCGAGAGTGTAGCGAGGCTAATACCCGAGAGAACTCAAGTATCGTGAGAGAGTTAGGCTAATAACCGAGTCGATCACACCTATGGTCGAGAGCAAGGCCGTGGCGAAGCCGTGATCGAGACAAGTCGAGGGAACGCAACACCCGATCCTTCATCATTGGTGCTTTCATTAAGAGTGATCGATTGGGTGTTCGTGAACTTTTCCTATCCTATTCTTTTTATTTTGTTCGAATTTTTGAGTCTTTTGTGGTAGAGTTTTTTCAAATTTTTCTCCAAATTTTCGAAAAATTTCGTGAGTCATAAAAAAAAAGTGTCATCTAGTCCTTTTGTTTGATTTTTTCGGTTATTACCTTTTGTTGAGGGGCCGAATTTCTTTTGTTTTTCTTTTCTTTTTGGTTCGACTTTGTTCGAATATTTTTTATATAGTCTTAAAAAAAATATATATGAAGAGAGTCATGTTGATGTTTGAGCCATTGGACGAGATGGATCTCGAGGATCTTGAATATCTCGAAGGTTTGGAGAAGGAATTAACCCCTTGGGAGCAAGAGTATTTGGAGGAGTTGCACGAGCGAAGAGATCTCGAGGAGAAGCTCGAACGACAACTCAAGATCATGGAGCCCGTAATGGCGTTAGATCTACCAAGCGATGTTGAAGATGAGGTCACCGAGTTCATGGTCAAGCGAGTCGGGTGCGAGGATTCACCTTCGTTCGGTGTCTTGTCCATGGACGTTGGGGAGCCCAAGGTAGCCGAGGTCAAGGAAGTAATCTTAGTCGTGGGTGATAGAGGTCATGATGAAGAGACGCACAAGGAGGGTAGTGCGGATGAAGAGGTGTTCGATGTCGAGAGTGTAGTCTTGGTCGAGATCGAAGAAGGAGTGCCCGAGGTTTGGATGGTCGAGGATGAGTCCTTGAGGACAAGGACATTCTCAAAGGGGGCGGGAATGATGCGTAAGTGGGTTTTGACCCCCGACGACAAGAAGGGC